ACACTGCCAGGGAGTGGAGGCCCCTCGGGCCTCCGAGGGTCAGGGTGCAGGGCGTACCTCCGCGGAGCGTCATAGCCACTCTTCTGTTCCTCACGCTGGCGCTCAGTCAGGGGCGAGTTCCACTCTCTCTCACCTGGAAGCAACAGATACAAGCTCATCAAAACATTTTTGGACTCCTGCGACTCTTTCAGTGTCAAAGACCTCTGGTGTGTGACTCAAAATAACTGAAGGTTATTTAAGACAGAAACTACAAGTAGCACATTGAAATAAGCACTAAGAGGAAACTAAAGAGGATTTCGTTGTCCTAAGCTTTTCTTCTCTAATTTCTGACTACAACCTGCAGCCTCCTGGGAGGCTGTCTGTGATGAGCATGAGCCCAGCTCCTAATTAAATGTGTAAACTGTGATCTCTTTAGAAGAATCTCTAACCCTGCTGAAGCGTCAAACCTACCCATACCGTCTCCACCGCTCATTGTCACTGTTCGAGACCCTGACACCCCGCAGCTCCAGAACCTGACCTCTGACCTCTCTGTGGATAAAGACGACAGATAACAAATAACATTCTCCTTCACAGATCAGGTTAAACAGATCAACACTTCACAGGGAGAGTGCTGGGAGCAGTCAACTCACTTGACTCTCTGGTATCGACTCGCCTCCTGAAGCGAAGGCCCTGCAGAGACTTCAGAGGGGGGAACTCTTTGCCATGGTTGTACTCCTCGATCATGGGGCCTGGCGGAGGGCGGGGCTCTTCACTCTGCCTCTCACCTGTAAGAATCATTACCCAGCAGACATAGGTGACAAGCCTAAAATGGCACTGCAGAAATTATATCCATTTTCAAGCACACACCCCCATTTTTGGTGGCTCATAAATAATGGAACAGGTGTGGCCTGTGCTCTCCTTACTCTGTGACTAATCAAGCCAATAAACATGGAGGTGGTTCTGAGAGTTATATTTGCATTGGGTAGCTGTCCACTGGAACTCTCAACACAAGGTCTAAAGAGGTATCTGTGAAAGTGGAAGAGGCCCTCGTTAGGCTGAAAACACAATAAACCCACCAGAGAGAGCAACAACACTGGGAGTCGTTAGTACTACAGTTTGGAACTCAGCAACAGCAAAATACCCGGAAGACAACTGAGGTGGATGACCACAGAATTCTGTCCATGGTGATGAAGAACCTGTTCACAACATTGAGCCAAATCAAGAACACTGGTGAAGATGGAAAAAAGCCTAGACTGATGGAACCAAGGTTAACTTGACGGAATGATGATCCAAAGCAGACCACATCACTGTCACTGTTATGGCCTGGGCACATTTGGCTGCCAGTGGAACCAGGTCAGTTGTGGTTACTGATGACCTGACTGCAGATAAAATTAGCAGGATGAATTCTGAAGTATATGATGTTACACTCTCTGATCAGAATCAGCCAAATGCTGCAAAACTGACAGGACACATCTTCATACTATAGATGGATCATGACCAAAAACATACAGCGAAATCTGCCCAAGAGTTTCTTAAGACAAAGATGTGGGATATTCCTCACTGGCCAGTCACCGGATCTCAACCCAGCAGAGCATGCTGTTCACTTACTGAGGATGAGACTGAAGGCACAAAGACCCACAAACAAGCAGCAGCTGCAGCAAAGCATCTCGAGACAGGAAACCCAGCATCTGGTCCTATCCACTGACTGCAAAGGATTTTCATCCATGTATTAAAGGCAGTCCTAATGTTTGTAATTATGTTAGTTTGTTCCATTATTTTTGTCAGACCCCTTGAATTAAAGCTAAAAAAGTCTTGACTTCACTCACATCTCAAGTGTTTCATTTCAAATTTAGTGTGTTGGCCGAATGCCAAAAATCTATCACTGTTCCAATATTTATGAACCTGACTGTACGTGTCGCTGTTTTCTCCATTTATCATTTCGTCTATGAAATGTGGAATAATAGCAATAAAGGCCCACTGCATTGTTCCACAACCCACGGTGATGTATTTAGCTTGTATCTTTTCCCACCAACAGTTATAAAAAAATTAAAAAAAATCACTCTCAGCTCACCCGGTCTGTCCCGTGGCATCCGGCTGTATTTTCGTGGCGCACTCCGGCCACCGGTCACCTTGTCGCCTTGTCCCCCTTCCTCACCATCCTCTGGACTCTCCCTGCCCTCCCACTCGTCTTCGACCACACGGTGAGTGACCTGGGTCTTCCTCAGTTTGGACTTGTGCTCATAGTATGACAGCTCCGCCGCATCCATAGTGTCATGGGGGCGGGGCAGAGGTGATGGGGGTGTGGCCATCAGTGTCTGTTTCTTGGCAGAGAAGTCGGCAGAGTCGTCCCAGCTCTCAGAATGTTGCTGCTTCTCCTCCTGATACTGGAAGAAGTGTTTGATCTGGTGGGCCATGTTCAGGAACTCCTCCTGGGAAATCTCTCCGCTCTCCAGACGCTTACTGGCCTGAGGAGAAACATGAAGACAACAGTGTAAACAGGATTATCAAGGGGGGCAAAGCCAGGAAAAACACCTTCTGCTGAAACCTGCAATAACTGAATCTATTGTTCACTCGTTTTCAGTAGAAGTAAAGTCAAACTCAACAGTGGCATATCAACTTGTGATCAGTTTCCTGTTTTCATGTCCAGCAAGCACAGATCAACATGCTCGTCTGTGTGCAGTGTGTCCATGTCCCCCTGATGAACCTAATCAGTTAGCTCTGGGTTTGGGCTCCACCACCTCCCGAGGGGAAACCTCTGGAGCTGCTAAATGCTGCACTACGTTCACCAGCTGGTCTCTGGCTCTGTCTGCTGCTGTGTGGCTGTTTAAAACAGCAGCTTCCTGCTGCTGCCCAAAACCACACTGTGAGAGTGGTGACAGTGAAGCTGTGGTCCGACACTAAACAATGAGCTGAGACTCACTGTGAAGGTGTACATTCAGCTGATGACTGGAACTTGTTTAATGACTTGTACAGATTTGACAAAGCATTTGATATGACAAAGTGGACAACACAAAGACAGTCCAAACACTGAAAACTGTCGATGTTTTAGCACCATCTTTTGGCTTGTGACCAAATATCAGGCATCACAAACTCCTAGGCAACATCTTTTTAGAAGTTGCATGGTGACAGATTATAATGCACCAGCTATCTTAGAAAAGGTTCAGCTGTTTGCATTATTGGCAGTTCTTCTGCAGGTTCTGAGGTTTCTGTGTGTTCTGCCTGCAGTAATGTTTCTGAACATACCCTCCTGAGCAGGTCCTTCTTGGAGGCAGAGTTGAGGACATCAGGAATCTGCAGGTTGGCATCCACACTGAGGCGGTGCTTCGTGGTTCGGGGGGTGGTGGGCCGAGTCGGGGTGCCATACGGTTTATGTCTCTGAGGTCCAGGCTTCACATCCTCTGACAGCTTCAGACTGAAGAGAAACGCATCTGGTTTTTACACTTTAATAGCTTCACCCAAACACTGAGATCTGGAGCGCTGCTGTGATAACTAGTCAAAACCCATCAAACCCAGATAGTCAGTAGCTTTTAGTTTATAGTTTAAAGTTCATTTCCAAGTCAAAACACCACCGCAGGCCTTGGTGAGTTTATCACTGTTTCTATACTCAGCATAGTGGAGATCTTAAATGACTTCATCAAACATCCAGTCTCTCCTTAACAACAAACTGAACTCTCATGGAAAACCAATTATGAAATGACAAGGAGTGAAGCTGACACACTGGAGAAGCTAAAATGAGGAAACGATTCACATTTCTGTTCAACTGATTAACAGACTAATATCCTTAGCTCTGGCGCCACCCAGCAACAAAAATTAATAACCAGGGCTGTCAGAGTTTCTGATAGTGCTGCTGAGGAAGAGCTTTGACTAAATCCTCACAGAATCAGCAAAAACGTTTCTTTAAAAAAAATTCCTAAAACGAATCGATTATCACAACAGTTTTTCCATTAAAAGATGAATGGGCCAGATGTTTACTGTTTAAATAAACATATATGAACAAATAAAACATCAAAAATTTGTGAAAGTTATAATCAGAAATGGTGTAAACATTGACAGGTAACATTTATTCTTGTGATATCAGAAAAGTACTGTGATACTGGACTGTAGGCAAAGTTCAGTTTAGATGACTAAATGTTTGTGACCACCAGAAAACAGCATCACATGCTACAATGAGGTCAGAGGAAGTACACAGATAACAAAGAGGTGAAATGATGTACGCACTGTTTATTGTCCTCCCAGCCACTTCTCCAGCGGTGAGGAGTCTCTTTATTCTCCTTGCTGCCTCCGTCATGGCTCCGTGGAGAGTGAGAGTCTCTGGATTCACAGTGCCGGTCCTCCCCTGGCCTCTTCGACCTCCGGCTCTCCGACTGGTTCTTCTTAGGCGCCAGCCGGTCCTCTCGCCCCTGCTTGACGTGCTGTGGTTCATCTGTCCGAACCCTCCGTGGTTTGAAGGGCTTGTGAGAGGGTGACGGGGACAGGGAGCTGCTCCGGGTCCTGCTCTTTGGTGAGCGCCTCTCCTTCCTCTTCGGGGAGGTGGTGGGGGATCGCGACCTGGACCGAGAACGGGTGCGTTTCCTGGCGTGTGTTCGAGCGTTGCCTCCAGCCTTGAACTCGATCTTCTCGGTGGACTCCTCGCGGTCGTGTTTGGTCACTGAGCCGTTCACCAGCTTCCCTTTGCTGAACCTCTGAGGCTCTATTCCCCGTGCGGCCTCCTCTCTGTCCTTCTTGTTGCTGCATCTTTTCTTCTCCTTCATCTCATCATCTTTGGCCTCTCCAGTCTTGTCCTGAGTACGTTTCTTCAGCCTGGGATCTTTCTTTGTGCCATCAGCTGACTTCTGAGCCTCACACTCGGTCTGTTTGGTTTTGCTTTGGATGCTTTTAGCCATTGGAGACAGAGACTTGGACTTTGGCTTCTCCTCTGACACCTCTTTCTTCGGGGTCCTGGCCTTCTCCAGCCGGGTGGGTTTCTCCGGCAGTCGTTTCTCAGGTGTCAAAGTGGGACTTCCAGTTGTGGGGGGAGCATCTTTTTTCCCAGCAGGCTGTTCTTTGGGCTGGGGGGCAGCTGGGGGGCCAGAGGGCGTCAGACGGAGGGTAGGTTTGTTGTCAGTCTGAGTCTGAGAAGGAGAGATCCAGGATCGGACCACAGGGGCAGTTTGGCTAACGGGCTTCGACGCTGTGCTCGGCGCTGCTGGAGTCGAGGTGGGTAACACAAAACCACCAGCCTGCAGAAACATTAGACAAGTGTTAACGCTTCTGTGCCACTGGTGGATGAACAAACTGTAACTAAAGCCTTCCTCAAGCCTAAAGGACCTTTCAGTGACATCTTTATTTTTTGCACAAAATTACAGAGAGTAGTATCAATAACAGTATTGTACCGATTAGCAGTATCCTATCAACAGAATCCTAATGACACAGGCCCTACAGGTGTCTCTGGTTAATATAGGTTCTTTGGCTTTAAGGACCTAGCAGGTGTCCCTGTATTCCACAACTGTTTTCTTTCCACAGCTGCTACAGTTTCCTGTATGACAATCTCAAATGTTGCAGGTTTCCCATGAGTTTAACTATCATGTTGCAGGTTTCCCATGAGGGTAAATAACAGTTTAACTATAAGAAGTTCCACATTTTAAGATCCAAAGACTTGTGGAGCTCCAGCCAAACACAGAGGGCTAGAAAAAGACAACTGATACGCAACTTTATAACATCTGAGTGGATGTGATTTCACTAGTTTAGGCATCACCTTAAAATGTAGTCTTCAAAGTTATATAAAGACTTCTAAAGGCAACTTCTCTCTTCAAACTGCATTAGAATAATGAGAAAGACGATGCAGACCTGGAGTCAGATCTAAACTCTAACCCGGGTCATTTGGTCCTACCAGCTGTGCTTTGGTCTGCTCCAGCTCCAGCTCGATCTTCTTCTGCTGAAGCTCCAGAAGCTGTTTCTGTTTGGCCAGCAGCTGCTGCCGGATCAGCTGCTCCTGGGTCACACTGGACGGGCTGATGGCTGGGGTCGGCTGGTGAGCGGTGGTTGCTGGGGGGGCCTGGGTGATAACCGGCTGTGGAGAGGATACGTCCTCAGACTGGAGACCCACCGAGGTTGTAGAAGGTCAAAGCCATTACAAGCGAAAGAAGAGACAAAGGTCTAAAGTCAGAGTCTGAACGCCCACACATACCTGAGTTTACATCCTCTGAGTGTGTTGCAAAGTCTGAGAGGAGCTGCTTGGTAGAGCTTTTCTACATTTCAAAGAGAAATCATGCACTTTTAACACCCCTACATTCATCTGACAGCTGGACCTTTACATTCAACAGGAGATGAACATGGTTATAAGCGCTTAGATTTTCCAGGTGTGGCGACACAAAACTGCACAGAATTCAATGCAGTCTCTTCAAAATTACATTAAAGATGGTGGCGAGTCCGAACTTAACCATTACATAGCTTTTGTCTTTAGGCATGTTTGTCCACTAGTGAACTGTTTACGGCCTCAAAGTTTCACTAATACACACAGGGCCTCAACAGTCATTTTTATCATGAGTTAACCTAGACCTGAAACACCTACTGGACTCTTAAAAATCAACCAGCCAGGGATCAATTTATAATTTTGGCCTTTTTGAGCAAAAAATGCCAAGTGCGCTCCTACTGGACTCTTAAAAATCAACCAGCAAAGGATCAATTTATAATTTTGGCCTTTTGAGCAAAAATGCCAAGTGCGCCCCTGGTTCCAGCTTTTCAAACATGAGGGCTAACTGCCTTTTTCATCAGCCGCAGTCCGATGTGGTGTTTGCAGCACATACACACCTGTTTCAAGAACTTGGGGTTGACATGAATGCTGGCATTGACAGTGTGCGGCAGCGGCTTGATGGGCCAGGCTGGGTCCAGAGAGTTGACCCGGACGTCCAGCGCATACAGTTTCTTCAGGGGAAACACATCATCCCACGTCGATCGTAACTTGAACAGACTCTTTCTAGTGTTTTCATCCACCTACAAACAGAGGACAGGACTTGGTCCACAGCTACCAACAAAAACCTAACACACAATAACATGGCAGCAAAGGCTAATGCAGGTCTTTTTACATGTGTTAGTACCAAGGAAAATACTAACATATCTGGTCTAAAGACTTTCTGGAGACTATGTTAAAGTCATAAACAGTGACTGTGTAAAATGCAAAATGATGTAATTAATCCTCCCTCCCTAACTTTTACCAGACTACACTATGGAATTTAGCAGGCAGGCAGGTGACTACACACAAAGCAAGCAACACAAGAAACAGGAGGGAAGTGAAGTGGGCTGCTACGAGCTTTAGTGCTTAACTTTAACAATGCTCAAACAGCAGCAAAGTGAACTGTACCTTTTCAAAGACACATATAAATGAAGTGATTAGGTTTTTAGCAAACACTTCAAGGTACTGTCCTCCAACATTCTTCACTATGGAATCCACTAAGTACAAAACTGGCAGCTTCTCAGCAGGTGGCGCCTGGAGCAATAGAGAACTCAACAAGTTTAGAACACAACAGGGGTTAAAGCAACATTTCAGAACAAACTTTCAAATTACAACTTGTCAGGAGTTAACAGGCGCTGACAGCCCTACCCCACTCCACCAAAAGTGTAAGAAAGTTAAATTAAAATGTGGAAAAACCAAATAGGAAAATTTGTCTGAAAAAATGTGTAAGGGTCTGCACATCAAATGGGGGAGGGGGAGTCAAAAAGCAGTACAGTCTGTGAGATGTCTCTTCATTCTGGAAGCAAAAAAGAAAAATAACCAATGTCTTTTGTTATCACACTGATGGTCTAACCACAGCCGATCAATCCAAAAACAGGAAAATGTGCAGAAAAACCAGTGATCTTCAAGTAGCAGTGAGGTTGGTGTCTGCACTGAAGGGTTCTAAGACGATGATCCATCGCCCAAGGGGATAAAAATACATCCATCTAAGACGATGATCCATCGCCCAAGGGAATAAAAATACATCCATGATGCACTGAGGGTTAAAAAAAGGACAAGAGTCAAGTCCTTTGGAACCTTTTTACCTCCAAAGAGGGGTTTTCCTTGAACCACTCTTTGTACTTTACCCAGGTGACACGAGTTTAACTCCACACCCAATGAGTCTGATTCACTCACACGCATTCAGGTTTTACCCCTTAAAAAGGTTTTTCTCTTTCAGTTGTTTAACAAAACAAAAACAAAAAAAACACTGATAACCCATTAGAAAATAAGACAAGTAATTTGTGGGCATTTAGTTAAAGAAGCTGTAAAGTGCATTTAAACTCTACACACATGAGCAGAAGTCTGTTTCTAAACTGTGAAGCACCAGTTGAAACACCACTGTTTGCACAACCAGTCCAAACAAGCTGAGTCACACTCAGCAGTGTCAGGAAATGTACACCATTGTACCAAGAAATTACACTGGGAAATAAAAAATGACAAAAAGCACATTTCACATTTTTTATTATAACATTTTTACCAATCAATGACATTTCAGTAATTCAAGATTCACTCGTGAATTAATGCAGGCTCCAAAGCTTTGTTTCGCCTGACGTCAAATGCAAACACTGACCAGAGAGTTGACTGAGGCAAACTGCTGACTGAGGTGCATTTCTACAGAGGCCCCGTCTCCTGGACTCAACAGCTACCAACAGTATTCATTCACAATAAATTAGTCTGAGAAACATTTAAACACAATGTTGTGGTCAGCAGATATTAAGAGAATGACTGCAGGAAAATGACCCTAGTGGCTGTGAATACCCAGGGCTGCAAATGTTAGGTCAAAATCCACCACAAGCGAACAAACTAGGACATAGCCATAACACATGACGGATCAGCTACACTCATTTATTTTACTTCATATTCGAGTTATTTGTCTGTTTCAGGTTTTTAGCATTGAAACACAGCTAATCGGTTTGATCCTGTACATGTTTTCCACTTCTTTCAGGTCAATGCCCCATGTTTTTATTATACAACTGTATTGTACATCTCCCTGCTTCCTGTTTTCATGTGGTAAAACACCTTGTGTTCATGTATATTTTAAAAGTGGTATAAAAATACTGTTTAGTTGCTTTCAATTAAAATCAACAAATGGCACCCATGTTTACGAATTAACGTTAACCGTGTTAAAACTAACAATGAACTTGCCTACACTCCGTTTCTTTCGTAATATTGTTACATAACGTGACCTCGAGGTAGCTGTTTTTTTGACTTCATAGATAACAAATTATACCACCAAGGCCTTACAATAACCTACTTATGGTGGATTTTAACTTCAGTTGAGCCGAGATCACACCTACTTTTAAATTAATGCGGAGAGTTTTGACAAATGGGTGATTATTTTTGATGAACACTAAATATATTATGTGAACGAGGTTTCACTTTAATACACACAAAATGGCGTTTCAAAAACTCTGTGCCACAGGATATTGTTGCTAACAAACGAAATATAACGTATCTAGGTGACATGCTGTGTAACATAACGCTAGCCGCCATGTTTGCTAGCAGTTAGCTAACATAGCCACAACTACATCGTCGACTGGGCCTACTACATACATCGACATAAGATGAAAATGAAAGTATTCTATATTCATAAAAACCTTGCTTATTTGTGCTTCAATAATTGCGACGATATCCTTGGCGAAGTTGAGGTTTTCCTCGGCCAGAATGGTCAGCATGTTGATGTGCGGCTTGCTGTTGAATGTTAGGTCTTCCAGCGAGGACTGATACTCTCGGCAGGCATCTTCCCTCGCCGCCTTGTCGTCCATCTTTAAGCAGAGTGACCCGTGAAATCTTACACCAGCCTTTTCAATACCATAACCATTGATTAGTAGGCAGTCCATGAACTCATGTAACTAACTGTTATACGCTGACTCGAAGAAGAAAAATAACCACGGCCTTGAAATTTACTTCAGCCGTCACCCGTCGTCGTTCTCTGCCCTTTCTGGACAACAAGAAGATGGCGGCTGCAACTGGAAGACTCATACGTCACATGATTAATTTTATATTTTACATGACGTCAGTGCAATCCCATTGGCTTTTTTTCAAGCCATCAGGACCGGGTTTTAAATTTTGATTGGGTCGTTGTTGTGACAGCCACACTAATGGCCCAATCAAATCGAAGCAGTGTGAGCTCATCACATAACCAAAGTCAGCCAGAAGTACATGAGGGCGAAGCATGTCGTCTGTGAAGCTGTTATCCCCAGGTTTTCAAGCTTGATGTGGCATTAGCAAATCTGTCGTACGGAATAAATGTAATTTGCAATGTGATTGCAGTTAATAATAAAAAAATGTTGAAATATCAAACATATAAATGTGACGTAACAGACATGCATGTGATCAGCATGCCCACAATAGCAGGCTAATGTGCCATTTAAGATTAGAAGCTTGAATTTTGATGAACTAACGTTAATGTATTTTGATTTTTAGATTGGAATGAAATCCAGCACAAATTCAGCTCTAACCCTGCTTCATTCATAGGTACCACTTTCTGGTTAAGCCCCATTTATAGAGGGTTTAGTAGCCTGTTTCCAGTGGAGGGCTCTCCCTCATGATAAGGATTATTTGATTTTATTGACCCCATGATCTTCGCTCTAGCTCCACCCTCAGGACACATTTTAGTTCAGACTTCTAATTCAAAAGGATTTATTGTTCTGTCCCACACTTTCACTTTGTGGGAAAACTAAACTATAGCTGCGTTCTGTTGGAATTAACCGTTCTGCATCTTCGTTTCTGAGGAAGAGTCGAAGTCAGAACAAACTTTAAAATATTTATTACAATGTTAAAGAAAAGCAACTACAGAGCTCTGGGTTCCGTCTCTATCTGAAGCCCTGACCCTCAACAGCAAAGCCGTTCAACTCGTCTTCAGGACGAGAGGGAACGCCTACCCTCCTGGTAACCCAATTTCTTATACATTTTGAAATGTGCAAAGTAGGTTGATCTGATGCCTCTCGTGCTGTTTCATTGGTCCCTCAGTCCGTCCATTTCCCAAGGTCCTCCCTGCTCCACCTGAGGAAAGACAGTTTTCCTAGAGAGGGAGGAAAACCTAGCACTGCCTGTGTGTGTGTGAAAATAGCTATTTTACCAGGCAGCTGTTTCTTCTAGGCCAAAATCTGATTATAACTTTGGTGTAAATCTTAGTATCTTATCAAACCCTAACTCCCCTGGCTTCAAAGCTCAGAGGGAATAATAAGCTCTTGTGGAGAAAAGGCAACAAATCTAATGGAATCCTGTGGGACGATGAGACCTTGGAAAGCTACTCAGTGCACCACACTTTTAATCTCATGGGCCTGTAATATCACACAGAGTTTTTCAGTATGCATACAGTAACTTATTTTCTCATCATGTTAGTGAACATATAATGTGGTGAATAGTAACTTCATAAACATATCTGTGACATGTATGTGAACTTATGTATTCTAAAATATAATCTTAACTATTCCTTTTCTAATATGATAGAATAGTTATGCACAAACAAAGTGAACACACAGGTTAAATGAACAACAGTCATGGTGTCAATCTTCTACTAAATAAGTACTTACTTCAATCAAATGTTAGAACCAACCTTAGAGTTTATAACTTCATTAATAATTTTACTCAACAGTTCACATTTTAACACAGGTTGTCCTAAAACTACAACCTCTCTGAGAGTGAAGTGGACCATCTGGACAAAACTCCAGAGAAGCTGTTTTAAAAATTCTGTTATTAAACTTGATTTATGCTATTTAATGTTTTAAACTTTCCGAACAGAGCCATGTGAGAAACTGACTGTGTAAGCCTGAAGGTTTTCTATCTTTCATGTAAAACTCTGTGTGCTGTGATATACTCAACTACAGAATGTTCCAGACAAAGCAAGACACAACCATCAACTGCAGGATAAACATGTGTTCCAGTATGATTAGCGCCTAAGTTGTGTTATCAGGGTGTGCTTTTTCAACTATATATTGTGCTGTTTGAATCTGTTTTACTCAGACAACTCTGTATGCTCATGCTGACTTGTCTCCTTGCTGCAAGTAAAGTAAACTACCTAAAATGATTCCAGTGATTTCGTTGCTTTATTAAAATTCTTTTGACAAAAGCCTTTATTTGTGGTTGATGACTCAGTCAAGTTAGGACAAATGCTGGAGAAGGGAAGTGACAATCTAATTCAAACTGCTTATGTTTGATAAGTGACACCAGGATATAAGATGTGGAATAACAGAAAACCAGACTGATGAGAGATCCACTAGAAACCCTGTTAGTGTGGTCACAAGCCAATGGTTCACTCCACTTTTAACACTGTAGAGCCAGACTGATACTGGGCTGGTGAGGTTGATAGCAATATTGATAGTTTAACAGCAACATATCAACTGAACCTTATTTTTAACAAACATTTTTGATAATAATCCTGTTAATGTGTTTATTAAAGGCTTGTGACCCAGATTTGTGGCATCTGTCAGTGTAAAACTCATCTCCAATAAACAAACTGTTACTGATAGTCTGATATACACCCTGACAAAGACATACTGTATCAGTGGTAAGTTTTTGTGACATTTGAAGAAGTAAAAATTTATTTATTCCTCTTAAATATTCCAATGTACAGATATTTAAAGTAATGTCCCCTGAAACTGAAAGGACTAGAGAAGCTTCTTGTTCTTTCTCTCGTCTTTGCTGACCATTTGTATACAGAAAGATAATGTAACTGACAGAGTAAATGCTGTTTACCGATTTGGGTGTGACTGCAGTTTCTTATCCTGTCACATGTGAGCAGGGGCTGTGCTTTGACTTGCGTTCAGATCCCAGATTTTTTTTTATCTTAGAATTTACTTTTGACCAAGTGTTCAAACTAGTCTGTAGAATATGCACTGAACAAATACCAACTCCTCACATCTCAGAAGCTGAAGTTACTAAAGGTTTGATGGTTTTATCTGCTAAACTACAGAGAAAATAATCTGTATACGAGTCTGTGATGAATCTGTTAGTCGCAGCCTTAATTTAAAACCTTCTGGAAAGTTTATTCACCCATGGACAAATTCACTTCTACACATGTTCAGTTAATCTGTTCTGTATTGAAACAGCTTGGCCATTAATTAGAACTGATTAACTGAGGTGATTATTCTCCATATTATTAACACCAAATCACCTTTTTTTCTAGTACAACTCACAGGAAATAATTCAGAATATTCAGACCTGTAGAATAAAGCTTTATCCAACATTTTAATAATGATCTAAATTCATAACCAGCTTTTTAATATCACTGAATGAACTGAAGTCTGTGTGTCAATTCATTTAAAAAAAAAAAAAAATTTTAAGCAGACTCCTGCAGGATGTATGATACCGTGTCCACACACAGCCAGCAGCCACTCAGCGCAGGACGAGTCAGATGTTGCTCAGTAACACACAACGGGTTATCAAAAACGTTACACATTTAGGAGAGTGAGCGTCAGACACAGAGTGTTTGCCTTGTTTCATCTCATCTCTTTCTCAGTCGGTTTCAGCTTTCTGGAACAGCACAAAGCCACACAGCGAGTCAGTTTGGTCATTTCATGCTCAACACTTCCTGTTCATCCTTTATTGATCCTCTTGTTGCTTCTGTCCACAGGAAGACAGCCCAGCTCTGCTCAGACTGGTGGAGGTCAGTGAAGTGTAAAAACACCCCTTTTATAAATGAAGTTTTGCTCTGGCTTTGCTGAGCTGCAGCCAAATAAGAAAAAGCTCAAAGCGCTGAGGAGTGGTGGTCCTGAGGGGGACATCGATATGACCACAAGGGCAAAGGCCTCAGGACGTCACAGTCTGGAGACAAAAACAGCTTGACAACACTAAATCTGGCGGCCCATGATGTGTAGTCTCGAGAAGAGGCCGACACATTCCAGCATCTCTACAGTGGAAGAGGAACAATTTACTGATGATGCACAGAGCAGCTTCTTTAAAACCCGACCAGGCAAGGAAAGGATCTGACCAGGTTTCAGTGGTGCATTACCCATGATGCTCTTTGCTCTATCCTGGTAATAATACAACTGAGAAATGATGTACATTTGACAGCATTTTTGGCTGTTAAACATCAGCACCGGCATTTAATCTATTGACAAGAGCATGGGTGGAGTAGAAGACGTCAGGGCCCTGGACACAGCCATGGAATGCTTCTATATCACATGTAGGCATTTTAATGCCAGGCCTGTTCCAGTGAAGTCTCTTTTAATATTGACTATATGCTGATACCGAGCCCATATGGATAGTTCTATTGAGCTAAATGTTGATGAAACTTGAAGAAATCTGACAACTGTTGTTTCATATGTTCTTAGGAGAACAAGTCTTTGTCTGTTGGAACTATAGAAGCACAGACGACAGCGGTGGTGCAGAGGATCTTCCTTAACAGAGAATCTCTGGCTGAGTACAGATACACAAACTGACAAGAGACACGCCTGTTCTGTCATTGAGTTCCTGACAGGATGAACATTAGTGACAGCTGATGTGAGCAGACAGACACTGGGAGATGTCAAACATCCATCACTTCCCAAGTTTCATGAATCCACGCGTTTTGTCAGACAGAACTCAGTCTCAAAGCTAAATATGAATTAACTAGAAACACACACCCTGAGCACTGGGTCTGATTCCTACAGTCAGTCTGAACTACATAGCTCTAGCTGGGAAATTATAATGGATCTATGTGGAAATAATGGCCCTGTACAAGGAAGTGTTACAAAACCATCCTGGATTGGATTTGGAAGCTTCACTTCAAACAGTGACCCCTGACTCTGTCGGCTCCTGGTCCCTTCCCAGTCTACCTGTGCAGTAATCCAAAATGAAAAGACGGCCCAGCACGCTGCCCTCAGATCTGCAGTCTGCTCTGCAGGTGACAGCAATAAGAGAGAAGAGGGACATTCAGAAGAGAAAAAAAACGACTGGCAGGTTTCCCTCCTCCTCCTCCTCCTCACTGGTTCAGTTTCAGGCATCAGAGTCATCACTGCTGTCACGGCTGATCTCGATCTGCAGTGACGGCAGGTTGTCCAGCCGGCTCTTCTTCATCTTGTGGGAAACATGCTCCTGCTTCTGTTTGATCATGGCGCCCCACATCTTCTGCAGCGTTGTGTCATCTTCCTCCTCCTCCTGCTCCTCTCCATCATCTCGTCTCTTCCTGCTGCTACTGCTGCTGTCGTTCTGCCTGGGTGATGAGGAGAACACGACCGATGAACGGGTGCTCGACTTGCGATTGTGACATCCACCACTGGCATTGTCATCGCTTGGGCCAAGCCTGCTCCACAGGCTGCCTGCCGATAGGAGGGGGAGGGATGGGAAACAGAAACAGCTCTGTAAACTCACACTGTGAACACAAATAATCAACCAGACTGTCCCGCAGACAGCAGAGCCGGCCCGAACAAAAATGTATCGAGCAACTGCTCAGAGGGCTTTCTGTAACACATGTAGAGATCAAAACGGAAACACTTTGGGGGTGCTACAATAAATGCTGGGCTTTAGGGGTACGATGAGTTTCCATCCAAAATAATCACAAATTTTAATTACACATTGAGAATAAATGGAAAAAGAAAATGTAAATGAATGTATGTTTCCTTTTTGATAATGCTAGCAAAACAAACAGGTTAGCTTTAAATGCTAACACAGCCAGAAGGAAGAACGCCACCTCTTCATCCAGTCTGAGTCCTCTGGCTGCTTTTAACCCTCTCCAAGTCAAACAGCCAAACCTATGTTAACCCTGGTTGTTGCTCTTTCTCTGTCCCACTCTCTCTGCGCAAAATACACCGCCTATTCACTCTGGCTGCCGCTTGTTCAGACTTTCAGCTGCCCAGAGCTCCTGCATGGCTGTTTGACATGACTACTGGCGGCTGAAAAAACCCTTCTTCTAACCTTGGCTAGGTGGAAGGCGAGGCTGATTTACAGACCATACTTTGACAACACAGGGTGGAGAGGCTGGAAGAACAACAGGAGGGCTGTAGGCAGGGTTTAAACAAAGGCTGTGACACATCTGAGGATTTTAGAGGCATTAAAACAAGTTTGGGGAGTATAAGAACATTATAGAGCCAATATCCAAAAACACTGCCCGAGAACATGTTTTATAATCAGGACAAACAGTTTTTGAGTGGCACTTCCTGTGACAGCAGAAGAGCTCAGGCCAGCTCTGCAAGAAAGACAGAACAACACAGCAAGAACATGAAGAAGAAAAGACAGGAGGTGGAGGAGAACAACAAAGGAAAGGACGAAGCTGGCAGACTGCACTTTTCCTCCATACTTGTCTTCTTGGAGTATATCCCTCTGCCGTCTTGGCTGGCCACACCCAGTCTGCGATGCACGTCTCTGATTGGCTCTCTGGCTGGGGGTGTGTCTCTGGGGGAGTCAGGGGAGGGTGAGCGCCGTTTGTCAGGAGAGTAGCGTCTTTTCCCCAGCCGCTGCCGCACATCTACAGGCACATATCAGCAGGGTAACTACCTGTCACAGGACTCTTAATACCGTGTATTCTCTCACCAATTGAACTTGGCGATTTTTCATCCAGATTTTAGTAAATAATTGTTTTGCATCACCAGCCAGATTTTCAAAGGAGAAAAAACAGTGACTTATTTTTTACAAGAAGTGTGAGGAGATGTAAGATAAAATCATTTAGATATACGGTACTGTCATGGGCACCTGTTTTCCCACTGCTGGCCACTGGGGGGGGCTGCCTGTGCTGAGAGAGTCCTTGTCTTTTCTCCTCCAGCAGCTGCCGGACGTCAGTCACCTTGGTGGGTGACGAGGATTTGGTCCTGTTCTGTGAGCCCGACGCCCCCATCCGGTTCCTACTCACAAGACACAAAATGGCTGGGGTTAAAACTGAAAACAGAAACAAGACGGAGCCCACAGAGATGACATGGCCTAGATTTCCAATATCACATTTGTTCAGTGCTTCCCACTAGTGTATAGCAATACTTCATAGTAAGACCAATAAATCAATGAATGCTAGCCATTTACTATCATCTGTATTAGCAGACACCACAGAAACATTGTCATACTATCTGAACAACATTTCCAAAAGTGATTCTCTTCTTTTATCACAAGATATTTGGCTCCATTGCATCTGTTTTTCAAAGTAAAAATTGAAGCACATGCTGAGTAAATATCACAGTAATTTGTCTTCCTGTTCAGGTCAGGTGAGGGAAAAATGGCGGCGGGCTCTGACCGGATGCTCTTCAGGTGAGCTTCCACCTCATCAGCATACATCGTCATCTTCTTGCTCTTCTTTGGTGACGGTGTGGAGATCATCTTCAGCTCCAGGTCGTAGTCCATCTCGTCCGACTCCGACCAGGGAGATGGCGGGCGCTCCACACGGCTATGAAGCCCCGCCCCCAGTGAACGGGAGCCACCACCCCTTTCACCTCGCTCCCTGTCGCCCCTCTCTTTGTACTCCACCACCCTGTCATCTGAGTCCATGTCCTCATCCCAGTCCTCTTCCTCCTCCTCTTCCTCCTCCTTGATGGGCTCCTCTGGCAGGTTGACCAGGTCAGCTGAGGGCAGAAGAAGAACAGGACTGAGTGACTGAAAGCCAGCAGGTGTTTGTTACTGCAGCATCATGTTCCTGACGCTGGTTCATGTGAGAGCGCTGTGGCTGCACTGAATCAGATGTCAGCCGAACGCTACAGAGCACAACAGACTTTAGTTACAACCACAACACTGCTGAAGAGACTTCAATCCCCTCCCCTCTCTGCCTGCTCTACTACCACATCCCTGCTGTGGGCTTCACATCTTGCAGTGTGAACGGTGGCACCTTTACACAGGTATGTCTTTCTAAACTCTGTCCAGTCACATCTCAGAGAGAATTAAGACTCCTCTTATTATAGGGACTATGGAACAGATGGGCAGTGAATAACAATCACCTCTGTAAACTCAGCCGATGTAATCAGTCACAACTGCACTAGAGCTGAGACGCCAGGACCAGCATGGAGCCCAGTTCACCCTGCAGCTCTGACCTACTCTGCACAGACTCACCAGCCTGTTCCATGTATTTCAGTGTGTTTCTGGGCAGTGTGTGTTTACCTGAGTGTCGGTGTGTGTATGGTGGTGTGTGGCCCATGCTGTCTCCAATCAGAGGCTTCTTGCTCTTGATGACATCTCGCTGGATCCTCCGGTTGTGGTACCTCCTCTTCCTGAACACACACACACAGGACATTTTAGACACAAACAACTTTTACATGTGATGCTCCAGGTTTTAAACTTATGACCAATTCTTCTCAAAAACTGACTTGCGACGTGACGAGTGAATCATGTTACACAGAGCAAAAGGTTTCAGGTTAAAACCTTCACTTTAACAGTGCTCAATGTGCAGAATTTCTGCAGGTTTCATCACAGCTGAGTGAAATTTACAGACATGGACAAAATTGTTAAACAAAGAGAAACTCACGATGGTCACTGAAATCACGTGAAACTGACAAAAGTAACAAAAATTTACTGAAAATTAACAAATGAAAATCAGTCATTGCTTTTGAATTGTGGTTCAACAGAAGCATTTTAAAAAAACAAACTAATTAAACTGGCCTGGACAAAAATGAAGGTACCCCTAACTTAATATTTTGTTGCACAACCTTTTGATGCAATCACTGCAATCAAACGATTTCTACAGCTCTCGATGAGACTTCTGCACCTGTCAACAGGTATTTTGGCCCACTCCTCGTGAGCAAACTGCTCCAGCTGTCTCAGATTTGAAGGGTGCCTTCTGCAGACTGCATGTTTCAGCTCTTTCCACAGATGTTCAATAGGATTTAGATCAGGGCTAATAGAAGACCACTTCAGAACAGTCCAATGTTTTCTTCTTAGCCATTCTTAGGTGTTTTTAGCAGTATGTTTTGGGTCATTATCCCGTTGAAGGACCCATGACCTATGAATGAGATCAAGCTTTCTGACACTGGGCAGTACATTTCACTCCAAAATGCCTTGATAGCCTTGAGATTTCATTGTACCCTGCACAGATTCAAGACACCCTGTGCCAGATACAGCAAAGCAGCCCCAGAACATAACTGAGCCTCCTCCATGTTTCACAGTATGTAGTAGTGTTCTTTTCTTTGTATGCTTCATTTTTGCATCTGTGAACATAGAGCTGATGTGACTTCCCTAAAAGTTAGTTTTGTCTCATCTGTCCAAAGGACATTCTCCCAGAAGCTTTGCGGCTGGTCAATATGCATTTTGGCAAATTCCAATCTCACTTTTTTATGATTTGCTTTCAACAGTGGAGTCCTCCTCGGTCGTCTTCATGAAGTCCACTGTGGCTCAGACAGCGACGGATGGTGCGATCTGACACTCATGTACCTTGACCTTGGAGTTCACCTCTAATCGCTTTGGAAGTTGTTCTGGGCTCTTTGGTTACCATTCGCATTTTCCGTCTCTTCAATTTGTCATCAATTTTCCTCTTGTGGCCACATCCAGGGAGGTTGGATACAGCCCCATAAACCTTAAACTTCTGAATAATATGTGCCATTGTAGTCACAGGAACATCGAGCTGCTTGGAGGTGATCTTAAAGCCTTTACCTTTAACATGTTTGTCTATAATTTTCTTTCTAATCTCCTGAGACAACTCTCTCCTTAGCTTTCTGTGGTCCATGTTCAGTGTCGTACACACCATGATACCAAACAGCACAGTGACTACTTTTCACCCTCCAGTCAGTCTGCCTGTTTAATTACAAGTTTGAAAACACCCATGATGCTAATTTGAGGGGACCATTGTGAGTTTCTCTTTGTTTAACAGAAGGGTGCCAACAATTTTGTTCATGTCTGTAATGCTTACAAAGTCCCCAGTAAATTTGGGACCGACTTTTTTTTTTTTTTTTAAACGTAGCAGGGGGGGCAGCGGGAGCCGGTGCGGTGGTGCTGGGGCCTTGATGATTCTCACTATGTTAACACACAACACCACTGTCTGATGGCCGGCTTTTAACAGCTGTCTGGGTTTCTCTGACTTCCCATGTGACTCCAGTGTCTTTATGCCCACAGCTCCCAATGTCAGCGTTTTCTTGCACCTGGTGCACCTGTGAACTTGTGTGTTTAACAGGCTTCAACCAATTTTCAGTCCAGGTCTCAGTAAACCTGCACGCCCACACATCAGGTTGATGATGGTCACAGAAACAGCCACTGATGGAAGGCACCGCGCTACCTCACACAGCATGCTTGCTGAGTCTTCTCTGATCAATTCTAACCAGGTTGGTTTGGTTTGTCCTTTTAATCCAGTGTGATAAGTACAACCTGATCAGAGACAGAACTACAATATGGAGCCGACATGCCACAGGTAGGGCTGCTGTCTTTCCTCAGCATGTTCCCAGAAATGCAAAAAAAAAAACTCAACTGCACTTAGCTCGACATTACAGAAGCAATGCCATCTTAAAATAATCAGATTAACTATGTTTAAGGCTTCTTAAGGACCTGCAGAAACCCTGTACAGGAGGACACCACCTGACTCATTCCTGAGGCTGCAGTCAGACGAGAGGGTTTCTAATATTCTGACCTTTCATGTAAGTGCGGCCAACAAAATCGTAGATACAATCAGAGACAATCGAACACAAGTGCACAGAAAAGGTCCAGATCTTTGTGTTTCCAGTAAGCGGTGTGCGAGACCCACCAGGAGTTGCTGAGGATTCCCTTCATGCCTCCGTAGTTTGGGTTACCGTACTTCATGTAGTATCTGCTGCGACGAGCGGCACCTGGCTCCTTTCTGTCATCTGGGTAACAAGGACATAGTTTGTTCTTAGTTATATCTTAGGCAAAAATGTCAAATATTTGCTGGTTCTAAAAATGGTAAATGGACTGTATTTTATATAGCGCTTTCTCACAGTGTGTTGCACTGACCAAAGCGCTTTACAGAAGATCATACACCATTCACCCATTCACACACAACATTCACACACCGATGACGACAGGCTGCCATGCACCGGCGCTAGTCAAGCCACCGGGAGCAATTCGGGGTTCAGTGTCTTGCTCAGGGACACTTAGGCATGCGGGGAGACCGGGAGTCGAACCACCAACTTGCTGGTCAGGAGACGACTGCCCTACCTCATGAGCCACAGCCACCATATTCTACACATTCTAATGTAAAACTTTGGTGCATTTCTTAGTCAAAAATGGAAACAATGTGAGTTTCTCTGGGTTTTCAGTGGTCTGAGACAAAACTAAGAATGTGAAGGCCTCAGGAATGAGGTCTGGAAAGAGCATGTATCCCCACCTTCTAGTAATTTTACAGAAAAACAAGATGAGTCAGTTAATTGAGAAAATAATTAGTTTCATATACTTCAGCACAAATTTGAGGTTCTTGAACTTCAGGTGAGTATTTTATTCTCATGCCATGTTGTACTTCTACTCCACTACAGCTGAGAGGGAAACATGATACCATTTATAGCACTACTACATCGTTGTGACAGCTTTAGTTTCTTTATAAACAGGGACACATGCAAGCAGTGATGCTTTCTCATTACCAAACAGGAAATACATATTAATTGCCAGATATTTTGGTCATTGTCAAAGTTTTCATACAAAAGTGTTTCTGTTTTGATGGTTCCAGCTCAAATGTTTACTGATTTTACTTTAAATTATTCTTATTTTTAATATATATTTTTAAGGTTTTGACTGTTTGGTGGGAAAAATGAAATATCAGAGATATTTGCAGTCGCACACAAAATGGTTTAAAAAAGGCTCCACTTTACACACATTAATGCATGAGTAATAATAAACCAGTGGTATGCATTGAGTACTCTCACTTTAACCACATACTGCAAGTATCTTTTCTGATTTACTTAAGATTTAAATGCAGGACCAGTAGTATTTTCACAAAGTGGTAGCAGGACTTGTACCTTGTGTTGCGAAGCGCAGGAAGAGTTTGTTTCCCTTGAAGGGTTTGACAGCCGGCCGCAGGTCGTTCCTCAGCAAAGACTCTCTCTCCGCTCGCGACAGGTCGTCCATCTGACAAACACAGTCACAGAGGACTTAGAGGAACGGATCAATAAACCTGATCAGTTGCTGATGGCCAGGATATCTGCGCACTTTATGACATCACGTTTAACAGTTGTAAAGAAAATGCAACATCCTCTCCACAGTAGAACAAAGGCCATGTTTTTAAATCAATTACAATTTAACATGGATATTTTTTTCAATATTGATTTGTATCATAGAGAACGTGACACTGTTGTCATGTCATGTAGAATTTTGGGTAAATGCGCCGTTTTGGGGGATCACGCTCATTACCAAGCATAGTGAGATGAACTACATACAGTAGTGGATGCTTCAACTACATCCAAATGTTCAATTTGAGCACAGGCAGAAACTGAGTCATGTGCAGTGTTTATCTGCCGACAGCTGCTAGCTAGTGTTAGCTCCTGACCCGAGAGCAGAGATCAGGGCGCAGTCATTGTTCAGTCTGTTGCTCTCGTCGACGGGATCTCTAGGTCTGCTTTGAGTTAGCTACCATTAGCTAAGGTTATCCATTCTGAATCACCAATCCGTTAAGTGAAATCTAAATGACTTAAGCAACTTTTTAGCTAAATTAACAAGAATGTGCGCAGGTAAATACAGTGGCTCCCTCCCAGAATAGCGCAACCTTAAATCCTGTGGTCCGATATGATCCTTAATGGGTCTGCATCTTTGTGACATGTTAGATCTTTCATGGACCTTTCCAGGACCCATGGATGCTGTGCTCTACCTGACTGCCCTCGACCTTCGTCTTCTGCTCCACCTCTCTGTCACTGTCTTTCCCCTCGCTGCTCTTCTTTGCTGTTTCCTCGTCATCCTCGTCTACCTCACCCTCTTCTTCATCATCCTCCTCCTCCTCATCATCAGACCCCTGATGCCGACGTCCTGTCAGGTGCAAAACACACATCAGTTTCACTTCCCCCTTTAAACACCTGCTGTGTGTATTTTAGCACACACACCAACCTTTGCTCTCTTTGCTGCTCTGTGTCTCTGTGGTAACAGCCTCCAGGTCAGGCATCTGGCTCGTGTTGATGAGGGCTCGGATGCATGTATCGTGATCCAGCCAGACTACATTACCTAGGAAACAATCAGGTGGTACTCAGACAAGCACAGAATGGTCCTCGTTGATCTCTGGAATCAAACTCAACATGTCAGTTTCCAAAGTGTCTGTTAACCCCAGTGACAGTGGGACAGGATGTGTTGTCTCACAGCTACACCTCCCTCCATGACCCTCTGCTGCCTACAGCCCTCCTGTTGTTATTCCAACTTCTCCACCCTGTATTGTCAAAGTATGGTCTGTACACAAGCCCCACCTTCCACCTAGCCAAGGTTAGAAGAAGGGTTTTTCCACCTGCTAGTAGTCATGTCAAACAGCCATGGAGGAGCTCTGGGCGGCTAAATGTCTGAACCAGCGGCTGCCAGAGTGAAGAGGTGGTATCTTTTGCGCAGAGAGAGTGGGACAAAGAAAGAGCAACAACCAGGGTTATCATGGGTTTGGCTGTGTGACATAGAGAGGGTTAAAAGCAGCCAGAGGACTCAGACTGGATGAAGAGGTGGCGTTCTTCCTTCTGGCTGTGTTAGCATCTAATGCTAACCTGTTTGTTTTGCTAGCATTAGCCACCTAGCATGGTCAGGATTTTACCTTTGTGTTGAATTAATATGATTTTAATTTGGGAGTTACTGGAGCTTTGTGTAACATAGAGCAGAGATCATTAACTCTTACCTGGTCACAACTTTAGGCCAAAAAACTGTCTTATGCCTGTAGCTGGGACTAAATGCAGCTGCTAAGCTCTTATATTTAACCCCCCGTGAGAGTTCAGACCTAGTTTTAGGGTTCATTTTGGAATCAGGTTTTGCTTTAGGCTGGGGCTATGGTTACAGCCAACATGTGTGTGTGGTTCTCACAAGATGTGTCGTCGATCCACTCGATGTGCGCTGGAGGATATTCCTTAAAATATCCAAAGATGTCCTGTGTGCTCATGTCGTCCACGCCCGTCACGTGGATCGCCTCCAGGCGCAGTCTAGGGATGGCTAGGCACCACAGAAGAAGAAGAAGACAACAGGTTCAACAAATACACCTCGTGTAAAACAAACTAGCTGGCCATGTGCAGCTCAGGTACCTTTCTTCATGGTGTCTTTATCCAGGAAAAAGTTCCTCTGCCCGACACTCTCCTCGACACAGAAATGGAAGCGTCTTGCTCGCTTCTCTTTTCTCTCAATTGCCTCCTGATGAAAACACACAAGTTTAACACCTCGCTGTCTATACATTCAGTGCTACAGTTCGCATCACAACCAGTGCTGGGCCTAACGTGTTAAATCATTACATTTACTAATTTTATTACAGTTACTCTATGAAGCAACTTGTTATATTCAGAAATCTTTTTTTTTTACAAGTCTTAGTAAAGATGCTGAAATTTCTGTAATAAAACCAAAACTATGAGCTCTGTCTTTTGTGGTGTTTAATTACAACTTTTGCACAGAAAAGTCAAAGATCTCTCCGGGCAAAGAGCAAGGCCTGGTGTGAGTGCTGTGTATAACTTTGCTATCAAAGTACAGCGACATAACAGGATGTCCTTGTGTGCAGAACACTGTGGCCTGCATTCTCTCTGCCTTATTCAGATTATACAGCACCAAAAAGCGACACAGGAGCACACAGGACAATACAGCAATGTCAGCTTGCTTTTCTCTACACATCTGTCTGCTGTAATTTCCCCATTGTGGGATCAATGAAGTCCTACCTTAACAGTTCAACCGATATCAATCATAAAAAGCATCATATTAAATCAAGTGTAATGTCATTTGAATCAATGCCTCATCTGTTTAACAGTCACTTCCTGTTTGTTTTCTTAATGAAACATGTCCAACATGTTTTTTTGTGGGGAAATGTCAGTATTTTCAACTTGTTTCTGAAAAAGGCTAAAACATTAGAGAAGGTTACAGAAACCAAGTCGGACTCTGATGTTAGCAGCTAAAAAGAAATGCTAACATCTCCATGAAACAGGAAGGTGGGAAGCAGTGCAAGCCTGAGCTGCTGTTGTCGGTAAGAACTGTTTGAAGGAGTTCAGGCAGACTGCAGCTGAGGATGTGCAGCCAGTATCAGCTGTGGGTTCCCAGCTTTCAGAGGGCTCATTAGCCACATTCAGAGCAGGTGGAAGCACGGCCAGGTCAGTTATTAGTTAGCTAAGCTAACACAGACATATCAGGCTACAAAAGGAGCAGGAATTGATATTTCTAAACAAAGTCTGATTAGTGTAAAGCTTTGTGAGTGGGACACGTGATGTTTTCGACAGCCTCTGTCACAGTGTGCGGTGGACTACGCTCTGGACCGGTCATAAAATGCAGACATATGGGGTTTAACACTTGGTTTGTGTGCAAGAGTGTGTAGTGTTACAAGGCTCCGGGGTGGCAGGCTGAGGTCAGACAGGGCAGCAACATCGTTTTATGGTTAAGATAACGCTTTCCTGTTTCATTGTTTAACATGGGTTCTTTTCATTATTGAGACTAAAATTATGCAATGTCGCCTAAAAGTGATGCAACGGTGTGTGTGTGTCAGTGTCAGAGACATACCTTCGAGTTGACATCGATTCCAGTGATGAACGCTCCAGCCTTGTTCTCATATCTTCGACTCGTATCCTGCAAAACACAATCCAGTGGCACAGACACTTTTCAATATATCTGTCAGGAGTTCACTGCTTTTAATCTCTGCTCAGGGACAGTTGCACAGATAAAGGCACTCAAATGACTTGGCAGCATATTTATGTCATCGATTGCTAAAACATACACACATTTTCAAATGGTTACTCAGCTGAAACCTGTTCAAATGTATTGGCACTATAATCTCTGCAAATCTTAAGTGTGAAAGCAACATTCACGAACGTAAAGTTGGCTCATCAGTGACCAAAATTTTTTGCAGAAGAAAATTCTGCATTTAAGAAAAGCTATGGTGCAGAAAGTGTGCTAACTTTGTTACAGTGAGGTTTGCTAGTCAAATGCATAAAAGAAAATATTTGACTGCATATAAAATTACTGCCCACTCTCATCAAATTAGAAATTTCAGACAAAACCAAAACACCTTGAACACTCAGTGCTTGTTGGCTGGGGGCAGCAAAGACCTCATGGAGAGCATTTTAAATTTCTCACCCATAGCTTAATGCCAAACTCCTATTCAAATAACAGGCATTTTAACTCCACTTTGAAACCAGTGACCGACCGACCACACACACACACACACACACACACACACACACACACACAAAAACAAACACACACACAGACAGTATCTCAGCATGGTTCAGACCTGTTATGCCACAATTTGTAATTACTGAGTGAAGCTGTCACTTTCAGGTCTTACAACGTTATTTTGTCAAAGCTTTAATCATTCACTGAACCTTTAAGTCACCTTTAAGTCAAAGATGGAAATCCAATCAACCCCTACAATGGGAAGGGATTACTGTCTGTATTTCTTAATAAAAGACAACTAAACTAAACTCAATGACGTTTTATTTGCAGAATTGAGATGAATTAGATTGCAGCACAGTCTGTTGCAACACTGAAGTGGCACAAATCAACTTTAGAAACTTAAAGGAACGATTCAAATAGAATAGGACTAGTTTCACTATTACCCTCGTTAATTTAATGGGAAGATTATCAGGTGAGTACGTTAACCACAGAGCAACGAACTAGATCTTTAAAAAAAATTATCACTTAAATGGGCGATTATGCCGAACTCATCAGTGACTGTGCATGTATCGAACCATTAATTCTTACATAATATTCCAGTACTTGCGCTCATTTGCCGATAAAATTTCCAGTTTATCTAACAGAGTTTGGAGGCACCGTGACTCCATACAAACACCGCATTTAAAGGGCGACTAGCAACAAGTGACTGAAATAAACAATGAAACTCCAGCTGTTAAACAAAGATGTCGTCAGTTTAAACAAGCGCGTGTTAAAAACAGGTGACCGTTATTAACAGTTAGCCCGTAACGGTCGCCGTGATAACGACTCGTTCCTGTAAGTAGAGCCGGGAGTCCACGTTACCACACGCCGACACTTCACGCGGTTCCCACGGCTGCAGTAAACGCCAGTCCCCGGTCTCACAGGGCCTCGTCCGTGCACTTACCGGTAGCAGCTCCTTCAGGGAACGGTTAACGGATATGTCCTCCGCTTCTAGCTCTCCCTCCTCCACTTCCATTGGTTCGGCTTCGCGCACATCTCCGTCCGCCTCGGAGTCCGAGTCAGATTCGGAGCGGTCGGAGCCACTGTCTGAGTTCACCGATACCCGTAAGCTACATAGCTGCGAACAACGGTCAGTGCAGCTACGGCTGCTGCTTCTTCTTCTTCGGTACTGCGGTGGCGAGACCAAGGCTGAGACACGGTGTGCCAGAGCGCCACCTGGCGGTAGAGAAAGTAATTGACTCATTTATTCTACTAAAAGTACACTGTAAAATACTCAACTTGTAAAAGTCCTGCTTTGAAAATGTTGGGCTGCCCAAGAAAAAATATGTATGTATAATCAGGGAAATCTACTTAAAATGTCAAAAGTGCTTATCACAGAAAATGCAGGCCTAGGCTTTTAATCCATTACTGTAAACTTAGCATTTGCTAACAAGCTCTCTTTTAAAACTCCCAACATTCAACACTCCACAACAACATCAACAACTGCCTGCTCTTTCTCGCTCTCTCCTCCCACACCCCTCACAGCGCCCCCCTCTCACATTCTTTCAGGCAATAACATGTAGAACCATATAACAGGATGCTAAACATTAGAACCATATAACTAGAGGCTAGACATCAAAACCATTACAATATATACACACATATGTCACCATATGTGCTGGCGTTGTGCGTATTTTATGCACATGGCACAGCTGCAGTAACATCATTGATTAGTCTATAAATGTCCTAACATTGCAACAGGATCAGTGATTTCCTATCGATACTGACCTCAGGTGCTTTCTACATGTGAGACAGGTGTGCTATGTGACACACAGATTCCAGCTGTTGTAAACATGTGGCGCGCAGCAGCAGTCTTCAGGGTGAGGCCAGCTCCACCTGAACGGTACAGTCAGTGTAGCTGATGTGTCATTGTACAGAAAGGCTGATCATTTCACACACACAAGAATTTCAGCGTTTCATCAAACAGACATTGAAGTAGAAATTCTACTAAAATGTTATAACATACCAGTGTTTTACACCTGCTTTGGCTTAGGCATCACACCAGTTCCAATGCTCAGCCTGCTAAGCTTTCATACATACGTGAAAACTCAGTCTGCAATTGGTTATTACTCTGTGTACAAATCACTGAATCAGTGCAATGCCATTTCTTATCTGATCACCCTGTGCAGTGCTGCACATTTAGCAAACATTTTAAATGGGAGAAAGAGGTCAAAGCAGGAAATGCCATTTTGTGCCTTCACATATATTATATTATATTGCAGTAAGAGGGTGTGTTCACTGCAGGACCTGTTGTCACTGTGTCAGTGAACTCTGGAGGTTCTTAAAGTGCCGACGGTAAAACACAAACAGACACAACAGATGAAAACCTTAG